TCCATCTAACTGGTTTTGTGTATTTTTACCTAAGCATCACACAGGGTCCAATAGACCCAAACCTCCAGGATATGTTAAAAAAGAGTTTTCTTTTGATTGTTTTGGTAGATGTAGCCCAATTTAGTACACTGGCACATAAAAAAACCAGATTTCCAAGTTTTGTAGGAGATGAAAAGTGAATCTCAGATTACTCATGCATAGATGATAAAGATAATCCACTTTGGTAAAATACATGCTTTTATAACAAAGGGGTGGTGTGGGTTTATGATGATGATGATGACTTTGACAATGGCCATTGTTGTAGTCAGGGTTTGCAAGGGAACTGATTTAATACAGGACACATAGTTTATAGGATTATTTTATAATACTCATCCAAAAAGTCAAATGCAGAAGAGTACAGATCTGTCTGTGCACTAGAGGCCCAAAGAATCCAGGTGAGGGTCTGGATTCCATGGCAATATCCTCCACAAGTCCAGCTGGAAACATAGAGCCCATGATAATGTCTCATGCAAGCCTGTATCAAGGATCTACACTGCAAAGGCCCAAAGGTCAGTAGTGGAAGCTAGAAAGTCTGCACCAGAGGGATGAAGGATCTGTGTCAGCAGGCTGAGGGATCTATCTGTACTGAAGCCAGGAAGTGATGCTCAAGGTAAGGACCAGAACCCCCTCAAGAAGAACCGCAGCCATCCACAGTGACATTGAGAACCCAAGCTCCTCTGAAGATGAGAACAGCTATGTTCCTATCAGGAAAACCAGTGTGACAAGCTTCTCCAGGAGAATCAACCACATCCCATCTTCACCTGCAGTTTTCCTTTTATGCTGTTGGCAACAATCCTCAAGTGGGCTTTTCACACCTAGAACCATGCTGACTCCACTCAAATGAATGTTACAAGTTGACAGTTAATCCACCATAATCCACCCCGGTCAACTTGATAACCAGACAGATATCCTTGAACTGTAGTCTCCAGTGGCAGGTTTGTGAAAGTTAACATGTCTTGATCTATTCAGATTTACATTAATATAACAATTACATATATACAATTCTTATTGCACTCATTTCTACACCAGAAGCAAATATTCAAAGGGTGCTCAAAATTCAAGGTTAAAACCATAATATTTGACTAAATAACTATATTACCAACGTGTATCTAAAAATTACATTAAAATCATATTAACAGTTATTACAATCACAATCCTTGCTTCCCATTAATTTATAACAGCAGGGCAGGGCCACAGTAAGAAATGCCCCAAGGGACTCTCCTGCATTTCAAATACACTCTTTCTGGTAAAAAGCCTCAGGTCATTTTTCCATTGTCCTGTTCCTTCTCCACAACCCCTACAACCATGTTCTCCTCTGTGTCATCCTTGTAATCCACAGCTACATGGGAGCCTCCCCTCTGGCCAAATGCTTCACTTCACCCTGCTGGCTTTTTGCTCTTAATTTTGAACATAGATCCAGCCAAAAGCTCCCAACAGTAACCATGCTAATATTCCAACACTAGACTGCATTGAAATTTTTCTGTCATGCAGGCAATATCTCTAAAACAGAAGCAAAACACAGATCAACTTCCTGCTAAAGCACAACATACACCACCATCTGGGATCCAGCCTCCAATGCAGTCGTTCTCAGTAGCAGCCTCCTGAGCCTCATCTTAACTGGCAGCATTTTTCCATCAGTACTCTGATTTTCCAGGCTCTGACCAGAGTTTCTCATATAGTTCACAGCATGTGGGGGCTGCCTCTTTTCAGCCAGTCTTTCAAAACCTTTCTAAATTAATTCCCAAGGCTCTTAAGCTGCATGGCCAGGCAACATCACAGCAGGGCAGGACAACACTGACAAGTGCCACTCTTGGAACCAATTGTGTTGTAGTGAGGGTTTACAACAGAACAGATTTAATACAGGACACATAGTTGATAAGATTATTTTATATTCACCCAAAATTCAAGTGCAGAAGATGCACGAGATCTGTCCATGTACTAAACCCCAAAGAATCCAGCCGAGGGGCTGGATCCCATGACAATGTCCTCCATGAGTCCAGCTGGAGGCCTAGCGCCCACGGCAGTGTCCTGCACGCATCCAACTAAAGACCTATAGCCCATGGCAATGTCCTCCATGAGTTCAACTGGAGGCCAAGAGCCCACATCAATGTCTCATGCAAGTCTGTTTCAAGGATCTGCGCTGGGAAGGCCCAAAGGTCAGTAATGGAAGCTAGAAAGTCTGTGCCAGCAGGATGAAAGATCTGCGCCAGTAGGCTGAGGAATCTGTACTGGAGCTAGAAAGTGACACTCAAGTAAGGACCAGAGCTCCTCTGAAAGGTACCACAGCTATGCTCAGCAACAGCAAGGTCCCAAGTTTCTGTGACATTGAGAACAGCCAAGTTCATGTTGGGAAAGTCAGCCTGACAAGCTTCTCCAGGAGACTGAACAATGTACTATCTTCCCCTCTGGAGTCAGGAAGCAATGCTGAAAGTAAGGAACAGAGCCCCCACCAAGTGAATCAGCTGTTCTTAGTGACAACAATGTCCAGAGCTCCTTCAACGGTGAAAACAGACGAGTTCATATCATGAAAGCCAGTCAGGACCCATCCCTGCACAAAAATATCCCTGTTTTAGAAGTGATAGATAAGCCAAGGTTATTCATGTCAGCCATATACCCTTGCTACATGTCTCACTTCCCAACTGGGTCACCATTACCTAAGTGGCTATACCTTTAAGTCTACATATGTTCATGGTAGGTTGACACATATCCTACCCATATTGTGACTTCGCTGTATATAGTACCCCAGTAGGGCTAGGGATGTAGCTCAGTGGTAGAGTGCTTGCCTAGCATGCACAAAGCCCTGAGTTCAATAGTCAGTCCCACCAAAAAATAATAATGTAAGGTCAGCGGAGGGAACAGGTAAAAGGCACAGCAGAGAGGAGTATTTTCTTAAAAATGGGAGTGATAGGTGGGACTCTAAGGGTAGAAACTGCATGCAATGAATCAAGGGAGCTAGCTTTATATGTATAGGTAGAGGACCCCATTAGGAGTGGCGTGAAAATTTTTGAAGAGTGGTTGTGGCTTTGTTTGAGCAGCCAGCACATTTCTGGGAGGGAGGCGGGGTTGGCTTTTGTAGTTTTGCCATGGAGGTTGGGACTGGAATGGACTCTGACATTCCTGTCTTTTTGTCTTTTTTTTTTTTTTTTTTTTGTGATCGTTTTTGTGAAGTATTTTTATTTTTATTTTTATTTTTATTTTAGAAATAAAAGGAGGAAATTGGTTGATTAGCTTTGTATGTCTATATGTGTTTTCATGAGAAACTACATTGAAGATATCAATATGTAATACAATAAGCATTGTTAATTCCCTACCACTCTGTTTGTAACTCTAATGTCTATACTGATCCTTTGCTATTTTGTAAAACGTTGTCGATCTGTTAGTACTGTCTTTTTGTCTTTATATGAAAAGGGGCATTGATCTCTCAAACTGCTTCCCGACGAGTGGGGGCATTGTCCTGGGGGTAGCTTGGGGAGTTCCAAGGTTGTAAGCAGGCTCTTGTGCCAGAGGTCATGGTTAGAATAGTTCTCTGGTGGAGCTGGAGTGGGTGACTTGTTGGATGAAATGCCTCAGAAGCTGGATGATGCAGGGTTCTAAAAGAAGAACTGGGAAAATCATGAGAAGGGGACTGGCCAGTGGGAGGAGGTTAGGGATCCATCTTCCCAAGGAGGACCAAAAAAAAGAGTGAGTGGGAGGGCTTACAGTTGGCTGTGTATTCATGAATTGTTTTGATTTTGTCCATTATAATACCTGATTGGTTGACAAAGTAGCAGCACTCTTTGAGCATGGCACAGGAGCCACCTTTCTTGGCTGTTAGGATGTCTAGAGCTTGCCTATTTTGGCGGGTAATTGCTGCTAGGTTGTTAATTTGGTTTTGAAGCATCTCTAATGAGGTGGCTACCTCTTCCAACTGTTGGCTTAGCTGGAGAGAAAGCTGTTGCTGAAGGAGGATAGCCATTGTGGTGCCTCTGGCTGCCAAGGTGATGGCTAAAGAGAGCCCTATTCCTACCAGGACACCTGTTGCATGAATGGCTCAGGTGTGATGGAGAAGTGAGTATTTAGATGTAAGTATGGAGTGTTGAATTTGGTCTTCTGTGTGTATTGAGACATAGGGGGACAGGAGGGCCAGGGTGCAGGCTTCACTGAAATGTTGAGGGAGATGGATGTAGGCTCCAGAGGGGCAGAAAAAGAAAATGCTGAGGGGGTGGGAAATGGGTACAGTCTGTCCTGTTGGGTGTGAGAAGGTTGATGCAGCCAGTTAGGTTTTTTGTGGGAAAGACAGAAAACTTGAGGCAAGAGAGGTTTTGGGCTGAAAATGAGGTGCGGATAATTGTAAGGGTCTGATGATGTGTGCACTGGTTTTGGCTGTTGGTGAGGTTAAAGTTTACAGGCATTGCTATATTCAGATCTCCCTGTAGTGGGAGGCAGAGCCATTTGGAGAGGTTTAGGAAAGTATAGTTGGAGCCTGAGGTCAAGGAAGAGTTGAGGGCAGAGGTTTGAATAAATAGCATTTGGATGGGTTCAGAGGGAATTGTTGAGACAGGGGTGGCAATTAAAACAAGGTTGGGGGCAGAGGTGCAGGAAGGTGGGACTTTTTTGGGCAGTGATAAAGATTTCAGGGTCATACCTTATCTCATGGAAGCTGAATCTGCAGGCCCATGAGGAAGCTGGAGTGGGAGGGGACAAGGAGTCTAGGGTGTTCATTTGTTTGCCTGAGGGGGTCACCTTGACGTTGTGATCGCTTTGTTTCCAGTGTGTGGAAAGGGTGTACTATCCGATGGTTTCCCAGTCCCATGATGGACAGTAGATACTGAAGGGTCGTAGCAGGTGTGTGAAGATGGAACCTTTGGGCACAGATAAAATCCACCCAGGCCTATGACACAGCGAATACATTTACATCCCACAAAGGGAGGACTGAGGTCACAGTAGGAGATGTTGAGAGTGGGGGATGGTTGCCCCTCTATCCAGCTGATGAAGGCCCAAAGGTCACCATCTATTAGGACAGCTCGGAAGGTCAAGTTTGTTTGAGATTTCTCTTGGGCCCTCACTAAGGATATTAGAAAAGTGAGGGTATAGAAGGAGGGCTTCATGTTAGGTGCTACTAAGAGGGGATTTTATGAAGCAATTAAGAGTTGATAGGCCACTTGGGGCTGGGAATTTAGCTCAGCGGCACAGTGCCTGCCTGGCAAGCGCGAGGTGGTGAGTTCGATTCCCGGGATTGGAAAAAAAAACAAACAAACAAACTAAGAGTTGATAGGCCACTCATGGTCAGGCCAAAAAACAGGACAAGAATGATTTTATGGAGGGCCATATATTCCTGAGGAGAGGTGACCCAGAGTGTGATGCTGAAAGCAACAATTAATAGGACAAAGGGGGCTAGGCACCTGAGGAAGTAGCAGAACATGGGGCTAGTCTAAGGACTCTGAGGACTCCTCTGGAATGTGGGTAAGGTGAAGGGAGGTGGGGGAGATAACCTGTGATTTACAGTGGTATGTGGTATTGAGGGGGTCTGAGACTGGAGCCCTTTTCAGTCTTGTTAGATGGATCCAGGTGGGAAGGCTTTGAAGTTTAGCTGCCAAGGGAGTAGTCAGCTGGACTTGAAAAGGTCCCATCCACCTAGGCTGCAGCCCTGTAGGGTGTAAAGCTTTTAGATAAACCATATCCCCATGTATAATAGGGTGTTAGGATTGAGGCTCTGTGAGTGGCTGTGGCAGGTAGGAGTCTGCATGCTCTCAAAGCAAGTGTTGGAAAAGGTGGAGGAGGGGGAGACAGTCAGAGAGTGGGGAGGAGCAATTGTCTTCAGTGAGGTGTTTGAGAAGAGGTCTCCCATACATGAGCTCAAAGGGGCTGAGACATGTCAGTGCCCATGGAGTAGCTCGAAGGCAGGCCAGAGCAAAGAGAAGTCTGGGCCAGGACAAGCACAATTCTAGGGTCAGTTTGGTAAGCTGTGTCTTGAGGAGTCAGCCTGCTCTTTCAACTTTTCCTGAGGATTGGAAGTGGTAGTGGGTGTTTAACACCCCCTTGAGGTGAAGGGCCTTAGACACTTGTTGGGTAACCTTAGAAATAATTGCAGGGCCATTGTCTGCCTGGATCAACCTGGAGAGCCTGAATCTAGGGCTTATGTGGTCTAAAGAATAGTTGTGATGGTGGAATTATCTTCCCCTGTAGCGGGAAAAGCCGCAGTCCATCCTGAAAGAAGTACCTGAAATGTTTTGATCTGGGCATGTGGGTAAAGTCTATTTACAAGTCCTCCCCTGGAGTATGTCCTCTCATCTGGTGCACGGGGAAAGAGGGAGGGGGCTTGAGGGCCTCTGGTGAGGAGGTTTGACTGCAGATAGAGCAGAGGCTGATGACCTCACTGATAACTTTAAACAGTAAAGTGAAGGTCAGAGTGGATGTGAGAAAGTGTAGAAGAGCTCATGGGCCTATGTGTAGTTTTTAATGGAGCTGCTGTATGGTCTGATGTGCTTGGGTGTCGGGGAGCACCAATTTTCTGTCCAGGAAGTACCATCCCTGATTTGACTGTGTAGCTTGGAGTCTTTCCAACTTTTCAACCTTTGCAGTGGTGTAAGCAGGCTGTGGGAGAGTGGAGGGGATTATAGGCACTAGTGAGGCAGGAGGACTCTGTGAGGCTGCCAGTTTGGCATATTTGTCTGCAAAAGCATTTCCCCTTGAGATAGAATCAGTTTCAGGTTGATGTCCTTTGCAATGTATGATGGTTACCTGTTTCGGAAATGTAGCTGCCTGGAGGAGTCATAGAATAAGGGGCCCATTTGTAATTGGGGACCTCTTGGTGGTAATAAGACCATGCTCCCTCCAGATGGTGGCATGGACATGAATAATACTAAAAGAATATTTGCAGTCAGTGTATATATTGATTTGTCTATCCTTGGCAAGGGTAAGGGCCCATATGAGAGCAGTGCATTCAGCCTTTTGGGATGAGGTTCCCTCAGCGAGGGATTTGGCCTTAGGACAGAAGAGGAGGTAACAATGGTGTATCCAGCTTCTTTTGACCTGCTGCACGTGGGAAATCAGCTGCCATCAATGAACCACATGTCATCAGGGTTAGGCAAGGGAGTGTCCTGTATATAGAGTGTTGGTGTATATTCTGTTTCTGTCTGGGGTGACAGGTCCCAAGAACGAGGTGCCCACAGATGAAGAGAAAAAACAAGAAAGGCAAAATTCTGGGATCAGGGGGCTTCAGCCTCCAGGACTGTTACCTCCATTACCATTTTCAGTAAACTTTTATTGAGAAAGAACCAAGGCAGCAGCAGGGCAACAGGATTAGCAAGGACACTACAACTTAATTATCACAGGAATGAGACTTGACTTAGCAAGCCATCATGTTATCATTCCTTTGGGCATATCTCAGCAAACCGTTTAGTGTTGTCCTGCAGCTTTCCACAGGGACACAGGTCCTGCTATCATGTCCTTTTACACCAATGCTTTTGCTAGACTTCCTCCAGACTCAAATAATCATATGGCTTGGTCAGGCCCAAAGTCTCACATAGGTAATACATTGAAAGATAAACTAAAGAATGTCCTTCTCCACAGTGGAGAAAGTTTGCGTGAATGTGGTCAACGACTTTGGTGCAGTAATGAAAGGGGGAAGAATCAGGGGATGGCACTGGGGGAAGAGTGGTGGGATTAAGAGAGGGGCAGGCTTTGTAAGGTCACCATGGATAAAGGTCAGGTGAAAAAGCTGGATTCTCGATGGGGCCAGAGAACTTGGTGCCCTGTGTTGTCAGAAGATCTTGTAGTCTATGTGGTGAGAAAACATTTATATGCTGGCCCAGGGTAAGTTTTTTTGATTCTTGGGTTAGTAGGGCCACTGCTGCCAGGGCACGGTGCCAGGGCCACCTCCATGTGGTGGGGTCTAGTTGTTTTGACAGGTATGCCACTGCTTGAAAGTGGGGGCCACAGTTTTGGCCCAGGACCCCCAGGGAGATTCCTTCTTTTTCTGTGGTGTATAAGGAAAAAGGTTTAGACAAGTTAGGAAGAGTCAAGATGTTTGGAGTTGAGCCTTTTGTAATGTAATGAAAGGGGTCTCTATCAGGAAGCAGGGATCTAGGGGTTCAGAGGTCCTCGGGTCACTTGGTAAAGGGACCCACACCAGGTAAGTGTAGTTAGGAATCCAAATTCCTAAGAAGCTGGCTAATCCCAAGAAGGAGAGAATTTGTTGCTTAGTTTGTGGGGGCTTAACATCTTGAGTAAGGTGTTTTCTGTCTATGGTATTGGCCCATTTTGTAGGTGTGAGGGTGAGACCAAGACAGGAGACCTTAGGGGCAGAAATTTGGGCTTTGTGGGGGGAAATGCAAAGGGTCTCCTCAGGCCTACCCACTCAGCCTATAATACCCTCACACTCCGTGTAAAAAAACTGATGGCTCCTATTGGCTCGTTCAAGACCTTTGAGCCATAAATGCACAAATGCTGCTGTTTGTGTGAACAACTGAGTTCACAAATAGAAGCATTCGGCAAAATTTTGCTTCCATTCGTGAACTCAGTATCAGGTAACAGTCACAACTGCAGACATCTTCCCCACATGAACATGAATGCAGCCACCTTCCCTAGAATCACGGAATGAATTAAGTTCATGAAACAAGTTAACACTGTATTTGTGTTTCCCACGTGTGCAGGTCTTCAAAGGTACAAACCTGAAAAAAACATCTTATCATCTTGTTGACTTCCAGCTAAAGTTATTTATGATTATAATTTTTTTGGGTTCAAGCATCTGGCTATCCCTTATTCATGTTGCAGGTATTTGTGATGAAATGTGCACGCCAATCCAGCATGAGACAGCCAGCCAGATAATGCAGACGTGGTTTCAAGACTTGTGATATGTCATATATGTGTTACAGCACTTAGAGATGCTCCAACACACTGCAGTCCAGGCAATGTCACTCTAAAAATCAAATGTTAGACATTACCAACCTATAAAGTACATCTATAGACAGGATCTTTTTGAGACAGGATCACTGTGTAGTTCAGACTGGGCTTGAACTCACTATGTAGCCCAGCCTGGCCTTGAACTCCTAACAATCCTCCTGCCTTAGCCTGCCAAGTGCTGGGATTACTGCCGTGCACCCCCACACCTGCCTCAAGAGGATTCTTCTTAAATGGCACTCTATCAAAAGATGATAAATTTAGGTAAAAGTTTCTATATGTCATTCAGTATCTTCTAATTAGATAAAGGGAGCTGACTAAAAAGTTATTCTATACTAAGATGAACAGTTAACTGTATTTCAGAGATAATACCAAAACCTAAAAGTTATATTAATGTCACCATGATTGTTATGCTAAAATGTTATCTTGTCTTTGATCTCAGGTTTTCTCTGTAAAACTTTATAATTGTTGTCTATTAACATACTACACAGATTCAACTTCTAAAACAGTGATGACTCAAAAAATAACAATTCCTTGGTCATAGTATGTAATTAAACTGTTCTCCTGGGTGTTGAAAAACTGAGGTTTGAAACCAGAGCTAATAAGGTAACTTGGCTAAGAGTATACCCTACATTTTCCCCCTAGCCCTCCAAGGTGAGAGGGACACAGGACGTGAGGGGACCTTTTCTACAGGATCTGACAACTTCGAAGAGACATCCAACTGCCTGAACTTGGAGACTGTTAGACCTCAGGAGAACAGGAGTCAACCAATGTACAGTGTGCCAAAAACAAGAGGTCATCAGAGAGAGAAATGCCTCATATGGTTTCATGAGAAGCCACATGGTCAAGCAACAATGTGACCTATCCTGGCAGCTGACACTGACAGAGGAGCTGAGTGGTTCTGCACATAGTTCCAAAAGTAATGATTTTGGAGACTTAACAGACCTTGCTATATACTGAAAGGTTAATTTTGATTAATACAGGTCTCACTTTAAAATGGTTGTAAACACCCAACAAAAAAGTGTAACTAAAGGTGTATAAAAATATTACTATCATAATAAATGTTACATATAAAAAGGGGGCACCAATCACTTACACCTGCTGGCAGTTTTCAGCTACACCTATAGCTGATCACTATTATGGTTCAATGAGGCTAGAAAGCTATAGTGGAAGTTATAGTCTTTAAATTCCTTAGATAAAATTGTCCTTCAAAACCACTGAACTCTCCATCTTCTTACAGCTAAAACTGGAGGGAATTACTGCAAAGAAATAGACTTATAGATAACCTCAATCAGTAGAGAGATTTAGAAGCCAACTGGTTACAACTCTTACTCCAATCCCTTACGTGCAGTGTCTGCACACTGCTGTTGTCCCCAGTCTTCCTTTCCATTCTGCTGCCCATGCTTTGGTCATACATGCCCTATTCACTTGGAAAAATTTGTTTCTTCTCACCTAAAGTTGCCAAACTCCCATCAGTCATGCTGATGAGCCAATGATAACTGTGCTGAACTCCTGTTATTTGGGTCTACTAGATGGATCCTCTGAAGAGATTCTCTAAGTGTTAAAACCCCAAAATGTCTTCTACCCAAAGCCCTTTAGATTAGTTGTTGGGAGAAGGCTCCTGACTGCATTCTCCCCTGTAAAAACCCTAATCAACACAAGCAGATAGATTGAAACACACCTATTCTCCACTAACTGCAGGTAGGGATAGCTCTTCAGAGTTGGGGAATATTATGGGCAGCAAAGTTAGATAGAAATCAACATACAGTCAGAGAGGGACTGGGCTCTCAAGGAAGTCAGTGAAAAATAAAGATGTCAGAACTGTGACTGGAGGCGTAGCTGGATAAGGCAAGGCCTGAAGATAAAGTCACGATGACTAGGCTTGCATACTTCCTTAAGGGATAAAAAGAACGTGAGACTATAGTGAGCCTATGGTGTAATGAGTACTACTCAGGCCCTTAACCCCAGATATGCATCGAACACGAGGCAGGTGACCAGGATCCATGCCTTCCCAAAAATGTCCCCGTTTTATTTTATTTTTTTTAAAATGTCTCTTTCTTTATTAGTTAGGCTTATGTTGAAAATGGAAGTGAATTTTTCAAATGCTTTTTAAAAAATAAATACTAATTAATGAATTTACTGTTATATTCAAAATCATTTATGCTTAATCTTTGCCAATAGAAAAGCATCACTCCAAATCCTAAATGCTATTATGAAGAATTCCAGTTTCCTTGTTTTTTCTCTTCTTGAAGATGTGGAAGCTCCCTTCTGTAGATACTTTGAGGGGAAATACTAGCATCTGATGAGGTTGTCCCCATTTTAGAAGTGATAGATAAGCCAAGGTTAATCACGACAGCC